CGCTCGCACTAATGTAAACATTATCACTTAAACCAGGCTGTCAGGAATCGCAGTCAGCGAAGTTCCTAAGCTGTGCCAGGAGTTGAATAGGCCAGTGAAGTAAGGGAGCGGGGCAGCACGCAAAGGCGATCCGGTCTATTCTTCGCGGTGCTACGTAATACGGCAGCAGTAGTGTTACGTTCAAAAATAATGGTAACGCCGACAATGACTACACTCCAGCATTCATTACCAGACTCACAAACATATCGGACATAACTATGCGTGTTGGAGGTAAAATGAGAGCAGTGTTCGGCGTCTCTCTTTCGTGTTGTAGGTGTCTGCTCATCTCCGAACGTGTCCTCTATTTGTGCATGTATGAATAACAGACGTTTCTGAGTGATTTAACTGACCGTGATGATCAAACCACTAACTACCGAATGGCATTATTGTCTCATTATTCGTTCAGATAAATATTTTGTTTCAGTTTTTTGTGTAGTTTTAAAGTCGGTTTTGTCAATGTACAGGATTGAAGAAAACTGCCATGGATCTTCAGTCTGATCAAAAATATTCTTGAGAGATTTCTGTGCGCAGTGCCCTTGATACTCGAGAAATTCTACTCTATCAACATTGCTGTGACTCGTAGTCCTCGTAGACACGAAGCTTTATGGTCTTGGTGGCCACATACACTGAGGTATGAACAGGAAGCGAAGCCAAGGAACAGAAGCTAAGAGAATCTCTGGGGTGACGACGCTGAGGACAAAGGATGGAGCAATCTATCTCAGCTGAATTGAGCAATTTTCTCGGCACTGCATTTATACTAGCAGCGCAGGTTTGCGACGACACTTTTCGTTATTGTCATTTTCATTCAGTGCCTCTGGATAGCTTCTCCGTAGTATCGTGGCATTGTAATTTCGTCGCGTGTAGGCTTTACAAGCCACTCCAGAGATATAGTTAGCGTACGAGGTACATTGTCCCCGTAAACTGGTGCTAATTTTAGCAAATTTAGAATTCAAATAAAGTTAAACAAGTTCGCCGCCGCTGATTTCCTACGGCAGTCGATATTATTTTTGATACTGCAATACGACAAAATCTTTAGCTCCTTAGACGATTTCTAACGGAATCGTTGTATGTTATGCTGTAATGTCCACTATTGTACACTAATTACATCGAAATGACGACCGACGTATAAAACAAATCGCCTTTCAAGGTTTATATCCAACATGGGTTCTGTAATAGTTTGGTGTTATCTACTGAGGTATTTGGGAGGCAACTTGGAAATTACGTGTCTGAGAACAACATCGAAAGTAAAATCGTCACTTTTGGAAAAGTTTAAAGTAGGATGCGAAAAACACATATTGAGATGCGTAAAGGAAACAAATATACACAGCGCAGGCTGCAAAACAAAAATGATACAAAAATCCATAGCCTAGCGCGACGTGAACTTAAAGCGGATTTTCACGTGGTGTGGATCTTTAACTGACCGTGTGTCCTTTGAAGCAAAGGACTTTGGGTTAAAAAAAACTTATCTGAAAGGATGGCCCGCACATTACCCATCTGCAGGCACATTTCTAACCTGCGAAATGATCGAAAGAGTTGTGCGTTACAACTCGTACAATTACTATATTTTAATGTTCGCCTAATTTGTTAAGAAAGAGTCACTTAAAAGGAGTCGCTGATTATTATTTAACGTGTTCTCGTAATGACAGAAAAGCGGAGTCTACGGCTACAATACAGAAATTGTTTTATCTGTGAGGCCTCGCTGATGATTCACATAATAAAAGCTCAAACGGTAAGCTATGGGGAGGTAACTTGACCTGCTCGGCTGCTTCTGCTACGGCCGCCTCTGAGCTAAAGTTTTCATTCAAGTAATGAGTGGACCAGACTGGGATAAGGGTTCCGCTTTGAGTCATCCGTCGTAGAACAGAAGTGTGTGGAATATCAATAAAAATTATGCGATTCCTTCTAGTTCAATGTACTAGCTATCATTGCGACCGACAGGCCTCGCATCCATTCGCACTCTGTTTTGTCAACTCCAAGAACAATTTATAAGGAATAACAAAGACGCTGGAAAAAAACTGTGAAAAACAAAAATATCTCCTGTATACATCTCTGGCCCCATAATACGTAACTACTTCACTCTCATTGTGACGTCTATTATGTAGCACAAACCATCCAGGCTCTTTCTTAAATACATCATGCCCACGTCGTATATATATAATAGTAAGCGGGTTCTTATGTTTAGCACAACTGGAAGAGCAGAAAACACCATAAACAATTCAAATGTAGCTTACACGTAGCATAAAAAGAAGGTGAATAGAATTAAGACGAAATCAGCGGCCGACAGAACGAGCGCAAAACGACAAAAGCATCAACCTATATCTTTTCAATAGATTTCGCAGTGGTCGCGTCCCCCTAAATAATCGTTTTTTCGCTAAATTGATTTTCTCTAACGAATCCTACCACAGCACAGAGTATTATATAAAGCTACGCAGGCTCAGTGTTAGGGCAGCGTAGAACCTGAGCGCGTGCTATAAATTCCCTTGCATTGACCTGATGTTTATAATAATATCTCTGCATGTGCCTCTGCTCCTAACCAATTGTAGTATGATGCGTCTACAGCATCGTTATTGTACAGTGTCCTACGATATTGTGTGTAGATCATCCTGATCATGTTTTCCTAATGCAGTAACTAGATGAAAACCAGCTGATGTTATCAAAGCCTGCGCCCAAGGAAAAGAAGTGCGGCTTAACGCCTGTAGCTTGCCATACTTCGAGCGCATTTAGCTACCGGCCGTAATACGCGGCAGGTCTGTGTATAAACGACAACTCTATACGAGCAATGATGAACAGGGCGCAGACGAGGGAGCAAAGTCCACGAGGGGTCGCGTGGCGTTACTGCTATGGCTGCCACCAGTGGCGCTGACTGGCAACAGTGAGTATCCTTTGGATTGATGCTCCTACAAAGTTTGGCCTGAGGAATGAAGTGGTTGGGGCAAGATGAAGGAGCTGAAGGGAAGGGAGCAGCGATTCAATTTATCAGGGAGCAGGCACGTATTCCATGAAACACCATACCACTCGAGTAGTTCGATTCAGTCGAGAGCGCTCTATAGACCAGCTTGCTTCTGTTCCGGCTGCATATATGGGCACGACAAAAGCTACCTCGTAAGGGCCGGTTACATTTTTCGGAACCGCATCGGTCTATGTTGTTCGTAGTGCAGATTTAGGTGCTGCGGTAGCAGTAGATGTTGGTAGTAGCTATTACTGCCAAAGTCATCATCCAAAACTCCATTCCAATATCAGCTGCAGTAGACCTGCAGTTATTCAGCAAAAAGCCGTGCTGTAAAATGATGCTGAAAAAGTAGTATCCCTATCAATGCCGGTTTAAAAAACGGTACAAAAGATGTCTGCGACAGCCATGAGGAAGCAGGAAGCACGGAAATTGAGAAAACAGAGATAAGGATGGGATACGAAAGCGGCGGCAAAGACGAAACGGTTAACGAATAGTTTGCTCCTTCGACCTGCTAACATGATCAATGTCTTCTCTGTTGTTACCTTGTCAAAACCATGTCATCACTTTTACCTCAGGATGTCTAGCAGGGTTCCTGGATGCAGGGTAGTTTCAATTAGCATCACGATATGTACACAACGACGTTTGCTAAAATGATTGGGTCGTCTGAAAGCTGTCCTTCAACTTTTGTGCGGTACTAATCCCTAGCTGTAAGTAATTTGAACTGTATTTTCTTAATAGTTGACTATTAAATATACAAGATCTTTAAGTTGAGCTTGACACGCGGGTCTAAACGAAATACCCGGAATGGGATAACGTCGCCCGTAATAATATATTTTTTTAGAACCATAACATTGTAAAATGTCAGTCGTCAAGCAATGCTTGAAGCACTTCCCGTCGTTGAATAACCTTTCCAACTGGAACCGTTGAGGATCTTGACGATTTTACCTTCACTCCAAGTATTAATAGAACACTTATTTAGGATATACCAGAAGTGTATTAAAATAACTGTCGGTGTTTATTCTGTTTTCAGATGTTCTTTTGTATTGTGTAATTAGGTAAAAACTGATTTACGCTTACAGCTCTCGCAGTCGTATACTTTCAGATTCAGCTCTCTTAGATTTTGCATGAGACGATTTGACACTGACCAAGTCGAGATGCGAGATTTTCTTGTAAGCTCTCTCTTCCCATACGGATGTGAACCACCTCTGGCAAAATTCCCAAAAAAATTCCCAAAATACCTATCATTTAAAACGTTTCGTGTAACTGAAGCCGGAAGCGCTTTATATCACACATCGAGAATTTTTGCTCAACTTGGCTATCGGCAAGCAGCCGTAAAGCGAAAATGCTTGAATAGGATCAAATACCTAGGTCATAGAATACGATACGTTATTAAGGTGATACGTTATTAACTAAAAGTATTATAACTGTGTAGATATATCCGAATATTGAATATGCCTTGTGTGAGAAATTCGAAAGATGTTTTTTTTGTATACGACGGTGTTGGCTGTTGTGACGATGTACGCAAAGGGAACCAACACGACAAAGGGGGTTTCTAGCAGATGCAAGGGAACTAAATTTAGATTGAAGTAACTTTGATAGCTAATAACCCGACGACCGTCTTTTGATAATCAACATCATTATTTCACTCGTCGGCTTCACTAATGATATCCAATATTGTACTGAAAAAGAAATCTATATGTAAATTACTATAGGCGTCGTTGTATTTTAGTAGGTAAACATGCAAACCAGAATCATCCCAGCATTCCGCATCTTCCCCTTTTTACGCTCGTTTATAACAAAATAAAATGTGGCTGATACGAAGGCCTGTGGCAGCATTCGAAACGTTACCGTACAGAAATTTTCTATTTCTGAGACTTTACCTTTACTTATGTAAGACCAGTCATGGTCAACGACCACTAATCAGTTAGCCAGTGCTCATTTGCTCTCTGCTAGAATAACGACCCGTAGTCGTTATAGGTTGGATTACCTCATTTGTCTGCTCGTCGACAGGCCTCCCTTATATCCTCAAGCAAAAGCAAGGGACAACAGCAAAAAATGGCATTTGATACAGAGCAAATGACTCCGTCCATGCTTGATCGTACCTAACATAACGATGTGCTAACTTTTTACTGTTCACTCGACTGACTCGACCTGAAGCTGACGCCGTGGTATTCCCTAATCATCTGAAGTTGCACGACAGAAATCGTCGTATAGAGACTCTGACATCAATATGCATTTGCTTTCAGACTAAGAAACACATCGCAAGTGAACCTGGGCTAAGCAGTGATGGAATGTTAGAAGACTTGAAGAAAGAATTGCGGACGAACACTAGTAGTTAACCTAAGGACTCTGTGATAGACGTTCGGAAAACTCTATTAAGCTGGGGTAACAGGAAAACCCGTGTTCTTGAGACGCTTCTATTTCCCTGTATATACTTATAGCCTTAGAGTGTTGTACATCCTTGATACGCTCTGTGTCGCACTGGTTTCTGCCTATGTAATAATTAAAGTTTATTATTTTTTTTTCAAACTCAATCGGGGCCATACCAGTCGCTGAATTATTTGAAGGCGATGAGCAGGCACGGAAGATGATCGTAACTGGAATCCGTATCATACCTCAACATCCAAAGAGCAATACACGTACGCACTCTTCAAGAGTGCCTCTATGGCCAGCCTTTTTATGATTTACTAATTCTGTAAGGCGAGAGCAGGCCTAAGGTGGAGGCCCATCATATTTTAACAGAAGGAACAACCACAAATGTTGTTTACGCGTCATAAATGGATGACATCGTTGGCATATTAGGTAAGTGATTATTTACGGATGCCAATAAATAGAAGGGTGATTTGTTTTAGCACTAATGTGGCAGTAACGTTCTGATCATTAGCTCCTAATCAAATTTACAAATAGCCAGATCCTAACGCCGGTCCTTTTCGCAGCTAATGGTTCGGAGCTTTACTCTCTGCTAAATGATGAAAGAGTAACTTCAAATTAATGCTTTCGATATTTTCTCTTGACGATTTTCAGCGCGAGTTCACAGAACGAGTCTACGGATTCAGATAAGCTGTTTGAATGACTGGCTTCCCCGTTGGAGTGCTATGATCGCTGGATGCAGACAAGGCATATCGTCATATGACCACTTAGAATTCCTCGTCGTCAAATCTCCCGCCCCTGTCGTCAGGACATGTATTAAGCCAATTTTGGTGATGAGCTTATTTTATAAATCCTTAGAGCAGCTCGTCGTTATATGCGTACTTTATAATTACGCTTTATAATTAAGATATCTTCTTTTAACACTGTATACATCGGTCTCGTTCTGATATTGAATAGTTGCATTCTATTTAGACAGGAAAAACTATCGTTAAGATTATAGCAAGATATGACCTCGCGGTTAGCAAGAAATAAATCAACGGTTACAAATCCTAAACATTTGCACTGGAACAGATGCTTCTTGACGTTTTTTTTTACCAGAAATCTTCTTTCCTGAATTGAAATGATGATATGATACATCCATAAGCGGCACAGAAAGTTACTACGACTTCATTGATTACTGAACGTTTTGCTTCCTGTTTAACAAACCTCGGCAAGTATAGTTTGCATAGACCGTACTCAAGTGGTAGGATTCCTTCGAAAGTCAATATCCTATTTGTCGCCTGTAACCAGTTTGAAAACTTGAACAGACGATCAAGCTTTGGTCACTTTCAGGATAATGCTTCACTGTTCTGTGTCGCTTCGGAGTGACTACACAGTATACACACTGGAGTAAACTTTTAGTCATTTATCTCTTCTTTGCTTTTCGTCAAATACTCCGTATAGAGTACCTCTTTTTTTCTGAGTAAAGTGCTAACGTACGTTAACTTTTCTGTGCACTTCTGTCGGGACTGAGGCGAACTGGATGGATTTGCCTGCCGCCGGGCTGCCTGTTTCTGCCTAACGCATAGCTTGCTAAAGAAAGAAATGTCACTAATATTCCATTCCAATTTCCCCTGATTGTGGAAAATTTATTGCGCCCTCCGCCATCACCACCTCTGGAAACAGTTTACCAAACGCCATTGGCACATACCCTTGATCTACTCGTCAATCGTTTCTACACGTTCGCACATATTGTGAGTGGCCTATCATAGCCAAGATCACATGTATCCATAGACTCCCAACGAGTATGTCTAAATATGTATGTTAGGTTGAAGGTTCCTACTATTCGCGCTGCGCCGCTCTTGTGGCGAGCCATCTGAGCGTGCTGTGTTTGCACAAAAACCCTGTTGTTGTCTTTTGTGTTCGGAAGCAAATCGGATGTCACGGTCACCGCTGGAAGATGAACGTTCTAGCAAGAAAAAAAAGTACATCTACGGTATCTAGTTTCTTTTTTTAGTAGGGCTCGACCGTTGGCGAAGCAGCTTAGGACACTTGTGCTATGTACGGAGAGAACACGTTGCTCAAGAGTGGCTTATGAGGTTCAACAAATGATGATCTAGGTCGAAGTACCTTACTTTGAAAGACCCCCCATTTCTGGCAGGATAAGTTGAAAAAGCTTTTCAGGGAAGGCGTGCGTCAGTTGAGCCTGCTACTTAGTGTGAATGTGAGCTTCGACTGCGGCATTATCATTTATGACCTTAGCTCAATGAGAATCACTTAAAAGCTTAAATTTTTTTTTTTTTTTTTTGGTTTTCCACATCAGGGACAACCTAGCCAACACAAATCGGCTTACCACTGCCGCTCAGTGTCCTGCTCTCTACCGAACAACACGTTCTTAGAATAACAGATTTTTACAGAGAGCCACTACAGACAACGAAAGATGGCGCTTCCAGTAAAATGGGATGGGTAACATCAAATGGCAAGTCTCAGTCTAGGCTCAAGCAAGATCTCCATTGTAAGACGGTCCTGATATATGTATTGCGACTACGAAGGCCTGATACAATAGAATAGTTAAAGAAAGCATAACAATTGATAAATATCAATAGTAGTCTAGTTGAACCGGGTTAACGGTTCTATTTACTAGAAAAGGAGGCTTACGAAGCCTAAATAAACAACATCTTCAAAACTGAGCTCATCTAATTTATATCTAAAATAGATCCGAGCATTTGGCCGAGAGGCGGTAGAAGGTCGGAGGGAATAGAGGAGATTGCAGAACGGACCATAGTATCATTGTTTTTACAAAACCGACAATAAAATGTTTGCACATGTTAAATTTTCTTGCTCGTTTGTTAAAGGTTTTCCTTTACATTATTATTATTATTTTCGTTTTGAATGACGTTATTCGCATGTTTGCGACGATAAAACATACCTTATCAATCTCTCGTGCTACTACAGCTCAGATACCCACATATGTCACCCATCTTGCCTATTGTATCAATTATACATTTCATTGGATCGGCCTTCTTAAAAATAAGCATACTAACCTTAAATTCTTATCACACATAGTATGTCTAGTGCCGTTATAACCACAGAAGAGATCTGAATATCTAAGCTATTATTATGTGCATGTATAAAATATGGGAATATATATATATATATATATATATATATATATATATATATATATATATATATAGAGACAGAGAGAGAGAGAGCTTTAAAAGTATTGGCCGTTTTAAACCAAGCTGAATGTGCGTCATTTTAAATAATGATCTTCTGGTCATTTTTCTGGTAACATTATAATCTGCATAAAAGCATATGCATGTTCTATAGCTTTTGAGCGAAAAATTGTGGTTAGTGATTTTTGCATGCCTCCATTAAAAAACCATTAAAAATTAGTATTATTAAGGGAGTTCTGCAGAAACCGAAACAAATGGCGGTCTGATGGTGCAAGGTTTGGGCTATAAGTAAACGTATCAAAATTTCCCATACAGATCCTCTCAGTTTTTGCTGGATAGCTAAATATGTGTGTTGTCTGGCTTTGTCACAGATAAAGACGACATCTCTTCTGTCCACTAGTTTTGGTCGACCTTTTCAATAGTTCGCTGTAATCTCGTTAGTTATTAACATTAGGGGCTCGAATTGTGTTGCCAGGTGGTAGCAATCTCTTCGCAAGACGATTAAAAGGGATGGCAATAGGGATGGGGTAACTCTTGTGTTGCGACGAAACTACATCGAAATTTTATCATCACTACTAATTTCCAGAAATGACTGGCACTCGAGGGCCTACACGAACCAGGACCATGTGGTTTGAACCGTATTCCTATCCACCTCGTTACAGACTTATTAACTATTTGAACCCACCCTCAACGATAGAATATAATAATATCATTCTAGGTAGGTTATGCGTATATCAGTAAATTTACTCCTTAGTGGTCTTCCAAATCACATCGTTACTAAATATTTTGTACAAAAAAACATTTTCTTCAAACGATTCTTAGTTATTTCTCCATTAGCTAACTCTCTCTTTTTCATTCTGTTCTTTAATTTCCTGCCTGATTTTGTTCCTTTCCATATCATAACTTCGGCATTCGTTCCCATTGACAAAGCCAACAAAGGCTTCGACCACTACACATAGGGAAACTCCTGCATTTGTTTTATAGATGTGTAAGCATTTACTCTCCACAAACTCTTTTCCCTTGAATTTTCTTTACAAAAAGCAGAGCTTAGCAATGATCAGCAAGAGACGAGTACATGTTCCTATGCAAACCAAACGCATCAGCACGTGAATCCATCTGCGTGGATGTGTGAACGCTACAAAAATAGGCGGCGATGCTTAGCTTGCAAACAATTGCTCTCATATCCCCCTTGGCGTACTTCTAACGCCAGCGCATAATAGCGGACTACGTTTCATATGAACTGGCAACCATCTATCCATCTCCGAAAGAGAGCGTGGACAGAGGCACTGTGTCTTGGCCGATTTAATGGGTACTATTTTGAAGACGCAAAAGGCCCAGGGTCAAAGCGGTGGAAGGAACGGAGGGTACCGGGGAAACGGGACGGAGGGTAACAAAACGCTTGCAGCCCTAGCTAGCAGCAGGCTACTGGCAGAGCAGCTGAACACTGCTGTTCAAGTTCTCAGTACCGGGCCGATGTCTGAAACCCATAGGGAAGTGTGAGTCATCTGAGTGCATTCATCGCTTGCACTGCATGATAGCAGCGTATAATACTGAACGCCGGTGCTTTGAGGACAAACATTAGGGAACTGGTTTGTAGGTTACAAAACTTGAATTTTGATATAGCCATAGAAATCAGTTGCTCCATCGTCCAACGAGGAAACAAAGCAAACAACGGTTCTTTTCTAGTTACGTGTAAGCGTGCATAATCCTATATGTGTCAAGCCACTTAAAGAGTAGCACATACTAAGTCAGAGTTTCTTCCGAAGAAACCTTTACAATAACGAGCACCGCATAGTCTTTCGTGTTTGCTATTTTCTCGGGAACCAGCGGACTCCAGCATAGCTTACAAATATGTAACCATATCGCAGGCAACTGATGCGTTGCCGTACTGCTCAGAAATACACTTTTACATAATTAATCTAATCTAAATCACATAATAAATCCAAGTACGATATTAAATACAGTCTCGCCGCGACCGCTTCATTTCTCTATCAGCATTCAGCGTAAAAATTAAATGCTTATGTACATGGCACTGTCTGTTGTACGGATAGGTATAGGTGTGTTACAGTGTGTAGGCATATTATAGTGCAAATGTACCGCTGGCACTGGGCCTCCCCTGTGGGATAAGCTGTGGGCATACTCAATACATTACATGTAAGTTACCTTGGGGGTTAACAAGCGGACGTTGTGGGAATGTGCCATAATCAAACATAATTGCGTGCCATACACATGGCTCTCTAAACAGGCAGTATCACCACAGAGAATACCACTATGCTATTTAAATTCAAATCTGGTGTTCGATACTGTCATATCGCGACCTGATTCACACTTATCGTGTAACAGAAATAAAGAACGCTTATAATATTAAAGACTAACTGAAGCCGTCAATTTTATACCGAAATTCTTCTGTATTTCAGTTGTTAATTAACCTTTGTCAGAATTTGCTTTTAGATAGAACTTTTAGAGATATACACATTTGACTGTATACGCCTGCGAACTAATTTAGGCATACCTTTTTCTCTTATTATCAAAAGGGGGATATTAAACCTCTTGTTTTTTTTTAAGAAGTCACGATGTATACAAGCGAGTATGCACATATAGCAATAAGTCGCTTCCTCCTGAATGCTTAGGCAAAACTTAAAAAAAGTTAAAGCAATTGGCCTAAGCCAGAACTTACTCTTGCAGACGATATAACACGGGCAGATGTGAAGAATTAATCGTTATCCGCCTATATTATGCAATGGAAATAATTTGATAGTTCTTTTCCTAATAGCTCGAACGGGTGGGATGCGGCAGTGCTCATGCGTGACGATACTCCACAGTATGTAAACGCCGCTGCCACTTGCCAGAGTGATTATAATAAATGTGGC